GCATTGTGGGCAGGGATAAGCTGAAAGCACTGGAAAGAAATTAGGACCAGTTCTTCCGTCCTCTGCTGGCAGTAGAAAGAAACAAAATAAAACAGGAAGGCAGGAGACAAAGGCATCAGGTAGTCTGTGGTGCCATTCAAATATGAAGGCAGAGAAATTCTAAGGCAAAGACAGAAATGGTAGCTTTCTGGTCTGTGTCTTCCTTCAAACGCAAGGTCTGAGTGGGCAGGGCAGGGGCAGGAGATAGTGGAGACTTAAAGAGTTTATGCAGGGAACAGAAAAGCTGCTGCTGAGAAATGGTGAGTGGCCAAGATGGAAAAAAGATCACAGAGTTCTAGGGAGCCAGTGAATATTCCACACCACACATGGGCTATGTGTCCAGTTAGGACACCTCTTTATTACCAGAGGATGCCTCCCACTTACCTTTTAATTTTGTCTCTTTCTTAAACATTTAAAAAGACAGAGAAAGAATGAGAACAAAAGGCAACTGTTCACAATGGAAGTGCAGGTGAAAAAGAAAACCAGGGTACCTGATTTTCTAATCTAATGGAATTTGCTTAAACTAACAGCAATAATAGCTGGCTTTATTAGGGATCACTCTGAGCTAGGCAACGTGCTACATTCTTTTCACATGTTTCCATTAATCTTCACAAGTACCATAAAAGTAGCAAATTAATATCCCAAAGAGACCGAGGCTCAACAAGGCTAACTGAGCCTTTTACAGAAAGCAGGGCTCCAGGACTGCTATGGTCTGAATGTTTGTGTCCCCCCAAAATTCATCTGCTTGAAGCCTGGCCCCATGGTGGTGGCATAAAAACATGCTTGACAAGTCTGTTTGCCCCTTTTGGCCTGTGGGGACACATACAAGGCACCACCTATGAGGAACATGCCCTCATCACACACCACATCCACTGGTGCCTGGATCTTGGACTTCCCAGCTTCCAGAACTGTGAGCAATAAATTTCTGTTGTTTGTAAATTGCCCAGCTTTAGGTACTTTGTTATAGTAGCTGAAGGAACTAAAACAAGGCCTCACACCCAGGTTTAAATGTCCTTGGAGCCTATATTTGCCCCTTCTGCCACACTGCCTATTAGATGCTGCTTATCAAAGTGTTTGGGATTCCAGACTCTTGACTGATAAATAAACACATTGTTCAGAGCATAGTAAGTTAACAAGAGCAGTGGATGTAGGAGCCTTAATGTATCCAGACAACAAACATCCTCAGCCTCAAGCAGCTCTCCGAGCTTGAAACTCAACAACAGATCTCAAAGGCCAGAGCAGGGGCCAGGAACCAGTGAGCTCATAACTCTTTTGAGAGCTTCCCTGATACAGCAAAGTAAAAAGCCCCTGGGGGGTTTTCCTACTGAGTGGAAACACAGAATTTTCTCCTAAATATTTAGAAAGAAGATAAGTCCATCATGGGCAGACATCCCTCTGAATACTCCAGACACTGTTAGAGGGTGGCTGAGCAGAATTGAGCACCTGATAAGATAATCACTACTAAGGAAGCACCTCCTTCCAGTTATTCATTCATGAAATATCTTTTCATCTTAAGGACTGTTCACCTAGGCAAGAAGAAACAACATTCAGAGACAGGCAGTTCCTAGTCTAATGACTGCTTCTCCAACTGTGGAAGCCCTTGGATAAGATTTATCTGGTGCTTATCACAGGTACAGATGAAAGGCCTTGCTGCTGGTCAACAGAATCACAATCTCTCCAGCTGGGCATGCATTTTGCACAAGCTGGTATGTGCCCTTTGTACAAGCTCCCTGGATGCTTCTTGTACACACTCACGGTTGAGGACCACTGGGATCAGTTGATAGACAAGGACAACACAATGTGATAAGGACAACACAATACTGTTACCCAAAATTTTGGGAGATGATAGAGCAGCAGTGCTTAACCCAACTTTTGGAAATAGCTTTTAGAGAAATAGTAGCTATCCAGACTAAAAAATAATGCAAAGAGCTTTCTAAATGAAGCTAACATGCTATGGGAGAGAGGCAGGTTATGTGATCTTTTACTGAACAAGGTAGAAGATTAGGAGAAAACCCAAGTAATAATCATTTCTTCTACTCTTCATTGTGTGTGCAAACATACTTCTAATTCTCATGCCAACTTCTGACTCAATCAAGAAACAACATCTGACACCAACACTTCATAAGTCTCACTATAATTTCAGCAACTGCAGGGCAACAAGAGTCTGGGTTCCTAACTGTCTATCTAGGTTTCCATATATGATTAATAGGAGGTCTAAAATTTAACTAATGTTTACGCTTGTCATCTATAAAACCAGAATTATCACCAAGAATGAGAGACAGTGCAACACCATGTACCTCCTGATATGATGGGTCATAAAGGACACGTCATTTCTCTACATTTCTACCAAAAATACAAAACCCAAATCTGATCAGTAGGATACATGAGACAATCCCAAACTGAAGAATTTTTCTAAAATAGCTGCCCCTGTAGTCTATAAAAATGTCAAGGTCACAAAAGATAAAGACTGATAAATTTCTGCAGATCTATGGAGACCAAAGAGACCCAACAATAAACATGGTACGTGATCCTGGACAGGATATTACACCATAGAGAAAATAGCTGTAGAGGACCCTATTGGGACAACTGATGGAATTTGAATATGGAGTACAAACTGTGAATTTGACAATAGCATTATACCAGTATTCAATTTACTTTTGGTTTTTATAAATGTACTGTGATTATATAAGAGAATGACTACATTCTTAGGACATACACACTGAGTGTTCAGGAGTGAAGGGGGATGGTACTTCCAAGGCCCCATCAAATGATTCGGAAAAAGTAGGTACAGAGCACTTTTTACTATCCTTGCAATTTTTGTGTGTTTAAAATTATATCAACATAAAATTACTTGTCCAAGCTATCAGGCCACGAAAAACAAGAAAAGACTGAGAAATTATCCAAATGGAAGGATACCGAGGAAACAAAGTTGGTGGTTTTGTTAATGTAATGTACCAATGTCAATTTCTTAGTTTTGACTAATGTACCAGGATTAAGATATTAACATGAGGGGAAACTGGAAAAAGGGTATAAATGTAAGCCTATACAATCTTCATAATTTTCTGTAAATATAAATTATTCCAAAATAAACAGATAATTTAAAAAAATATATTAAAGCACACACATAGCAAAGGCCATCTCCAAAGGCAGAGAGCACTACACTGACCTCACAGGCATGGAGAACTATCTATCAAGAGCTACTGTCTTAAAGCAAAGGTACCCAAACTGCACTGACTACCACATAATCAAAATCAAATAGTTTACCAGAACCACTAAATTAGAGTCTCTTGGGATGGGATCACTGAAAACAGTTATTTGAATAAGTGCCTGGGTAGTTCTGATGAGCACCTGGGGTTGGACACTGGGTATCCAGCTCAGCACATCTCAGATTGAACTATGCACAGGGATGTCCTGGGGATCTTGCTAAAATGCAGACTCGGGTCAAGAGGTCTGGAGTAAGACCAGAGATTCTGCATTTCTAACATGCTTTTAGGTGATGCCTGAGCATCTGGTTCGAAGCCCCACAGATTGAGAAGGGCAATGCAATGAGACAGAGGGCCAAAATGCATGCCACTACGGGGCATTAGGACCTCTACATATACTTGAGACCAACTTCTATCTCATTGAAGTGTTGCTCTCTTAGGCTGTGTCCAAACCTAATCCTAACTACATTCAGTCTGCACCAAGTATCTCCAAATGTTTTCTTAAGGTAAATTTTAACTAGCATCTCAAACCACACATGAAAATAGATAAGCATCTCTTGCCTGACTCAAATGTATCTGAAACTATCAGGCATCTCTACTTTTCTCTATTTGTATAGATTGCTTCTTGAGTCAGTAGAAACCACCTCAGAGAGCAGTTAAAATGACAATGATGTGTGGTGTGATGACAGCTTTTTTGACAAAAATCTCAAAAATTGACCCTTTCTTACATTTGAGTTTAAGTTCAATTAATTCTGATCTGACCTGTAGAATTCATTTTAGTGATTCCTTTGGATTCACAGAATTCCATATAACTCTTTCATTGATCCCGCCAGCAGATAATAAAATCTGACCAGGAAATAATTGTAAATCTTAATCATAAAATGGTATAGAGAACATAAAGATTGGAGTTGCCACAGTATTATAATTTTGAAAATATAGAAAGCCATCTAGAACCCTATATTATGGACATTATAAAACCTATAAGTACATATTTGGTCTCAACTTTTTATCCCTTAAATCACTTGCTCTAGAATGGCCACAGGAAAATGAGGACAAAAGTAACCATTCTGAGATAACCTATCATCAAATAGTGCATGAGAATCACACCATACAATTCTCAAGATTCAAGTTAAAGTGCCTTTATGGGTAAAACCACTTTTATAAGTCTTCTTGATATTTTTTAACTCAATAAACATTTGCTGAGTATTTACTACATGGCAGACAATATGCTAAACACATAGTGAATTTTACACTAAAAAATAAAAATTACAGTTGGCTGAGATCCAAGACTGAACCCCTCTATACTAATTTCATCATAAAGCTATTAATGTAACAAAGCACCAATGCATTTGGCTGCTTCTGCAGAAACTGAAGAGAAAAACGATTTAAAAAGCTTTGTCTTGCCTGTGTTACAACAATCTGCACATATTCATGTGTCATGGCAAGGCAGGGATGGGGCAGCCTCCACTGTTGTCAACTGCCCAGGGCCTGATCCACTGTCCCTCCCACCTCCTTCCCAGCTTCAGACACAAATCCTGCATTGACACAATCCAAGTGGATGTTGGAAGAGTATAAAAACCCCATCCATCACTACTACGTGTGGTACAGAAATCAAGCCAACATTGCAACAATTATTGCACAGATTTTTCAACACAGCTAGAGAGAGAAAGGGGGAAGAAAGAGCTATCCAAAGTCTATGAAAATTCCAGTATGGAAAGGAAAGTGAAAATAAACTCCCAACGCTGTCACGTTACTAACCTGATCAATTTCCATGAGTTTGGGATAGGCGCCCGGCCATTCTATGGCCACCTTGACGATGTCCGCGGGTGGCGGCATGGTAAGCCCCCAAAACGTTCAAAGCCAGTGGGTCTGGGGATCCTACAGCGTAAACAGCCGCACGTGTCTACACCTAGTGAGCAATGACAAAAAAGAAAGAGAAGTCACTCAGTGCAGATGCAGGGTGAATTGTGCTTCATCACTTCCTGTTTTCACCGGTGGTTTGGTATGAAAAACGGCTCCCCTTGGTGCCTGGGTGCTGAAGGCGCAGCGGCACAGCCAACGGCACGATGGGCTCCCGAGGAAAGAAAGATGGAGGTACCCGTGCCAACGCTCTTGCGTCAAGGCCGCCAGGAGACGCTGCCCGCCCTGCCGGGCACGGCTTGAGCGAATCTTCAGTGGAAAGAAAGCTGTTCCTTACCACTGAGTTCTGCTCCGACTGGTGCCCGGGGTCTGAATGAGCCAGGCTCGCTCTCTGTCCAGACATGCATGTAAACGTCTGGCGCTCAACAGTCTCCGGAAGGACAGATTGCCCAGGAAGTCATGGTCAGGAAGCAAAGTTTCTTTAAAGTGTTTTCTGTGTGTCACAAATAGATCTCCGCACTATAGCAACCAGGATATCACGAAGGAGAAATGCCCGGAGAGTTCACACACAGGCACACCCATACTCCCTCCCCAAGGCCTGGTCACACCATGCACCTTCTTCGATGGGGGGTGGGGCGGGGCAGAAAATGTGCAAATGTGGATAGGAAGGCATTCAGAACAGACCTGGACTTCTCACCTGAATGAACAGTGCTTCTTACACAAAGGAAGTGACCATTATCCTCCCAGGCTAGCCTATTTCTTTTTTTTTTTTTTCTTTTGAGACAGTCTCGCTCTGTTGCCCAGTGGTGCAATTTTGGATCACTACAACCGCCTCCTCCTGAATTCAAGCCATTCTCCTGCCTCAGCCTCCTGAACAGCTGGGATTACAGGTGTCCACCACCATGCCCAGCTAATTTTTGTACTTTTAGTAGAGACAGGGTTTCACCATGTTGGCCAGGCTGGTCTCGAACTCTGGGTGACCCGCCCACCTCAGCCTCACAAAGTGTTGGGATTACAGGCATGAGCCACCTCACCCGGCCCCATTTCATTTTAAAATTAAGATTTTGTTAACAATCATGTGATACAAACGTGTGTGTGTGTGTGTACAAAGATGTACAGTATTGAGTCTCTTCTCCCAATGTCACCCACCCACCCAATATCTGCTTTCACTTCCTATCCCTCCAGTTACCCAAGTCATTAAGTATCCCTTCAAAATTTCTTCAAGTATTTCTTCAAATACAAAAATATATTATTACATTTTCCATTTTCTTTATATAAAAGGCAGCATTCTTTTTTTTCTTTTTCTTCTTTTGAGATGGACTCTCCCTCTGTTGCCCAGGCTAGAGTGGGCAACCTCCACCTCCTGGATTCAAGCAGTTCTCCAGCCTCAGTCTCCCGAGTAGCTGGCGTGCACCACCATGCCCAGCTAAATTTTGTATTTCTAGTAGAGACAGTGTTTCACCATGTTGGCCAGGCTGGTCTCAAACTACTGACCTCAGGTGATCTGCCCACCTCAGCCTCCCAAAATGTTGGGATTACAGGCGTCAGCCACTGCGCCCGGCCAAAAGGCAGCATTCTTTTTGTTTCCTTTAGTATATTTTCTAATTCCTTCTATGTTAGTACAAAGAGAACATCCTGATTCTTTTTACAGCTATATAGTAGTTCATTGTGTGGATGTGTCCTATTTGAGGAACCAGTCCCCTGCTGTGGGCCATTTGGGTGATTCCTTAAGTTTATCTATCATAAACCAAACTATGATCCAGAAACTTATATATAACTAATTTTGCATATATGCAGGTACATCCTTACAACAGATTCACAGAAGTAAAACTTCTGGGTCAAGGCATATATGCAGTTAATGTTGATAGCCATTTCCAAATCTCTCTCCATTGGACTTGTATGAGGTTGCCTATTTACACCCAGCCTCACCAACAGATTGAATTTTTGCAAGCCTGACAGGTTGAAAATAAAATCTTAATGTATTTTTAAATTATCTTATTGTGAGTGAGATTGAACATAAAGAGGAAAAGACACATGCTCCCTGCTGTCCAAACCTTTGCCCCTTTTCTATTGGGTTCTCTTTTTTGATAAATTGATACCTGAAATGAAGATCTTAAACATGTGCTTTTGATCCTTTATCAGACCAGAGTAAGCCTTGTGAGTTACTCAGCAGAAACTGGACATTACTGAAACAATAGAGATAGCTGAGTTAATAATGGAAGCCTCAACACCACCAGCAGTTGTATAAATAACTTCGGCACAGCTGACAAGTAAAGGAAATGAACCAAAACAAAACCGCTACTCCTTTGGCCAAAGATGATGAGGGAAGCCTGCTGAGAAGCTAATCAGTGGTAACCAGCAATTGCAAATCTACCAAGTGGCTTAGTCACTCATTCAACAAATAATTATTGAGCCTCTGCTCAGTGCCAAGCCTATTCCCCATGCTGGGGATGGATATAGCCACAAATCTGGGAGTTAGCAACAAAGGATAAGGAGAAAAATCAAGCAGGGAAGGAAACTGAAGTCTGTGTCTCTACCTGTGTGGGAGAGGCAGGAATACAATTTTAAACAGGAAAATCAGGGAAAGCTTTACTGAGATGGCAGCATTTGAGTAAAGACATCTAAGGCTGGATGTGGTGGCTCATGCCTGTAATCTCAGAAGTTTGGGAGGCCGAGGAGGGTGGATCACGTGAGGTCAGGCGTTCAAGACCAGCTTGCCCAACATGGTGAAAACTTGTCTCTACTAAAAAATACAAAAATTAGCTGAGTATAGTAGTGCTTGTAATCCCAGCTACTCTGGAGTCTGCAGCAGCAGAATTGTTTGAACCTGGGAGGCAGAGGTTGCAGTGAGACAAGATTGTGCCACTGGCTGTATGTGGTGGCTCATGCCTGTAATCTCAGCAGTTTGGGAGATCGAGGAGGGTGGATCACTTGAGGTCAGAGGCGTTCAAGGCCAGCTTGCCCAACATGGTGAAAACTTGTCTCTACTAAAAAATACAAAAATTAACTGGGCATGGTAGTGCTTGTAATCCCAGCTACTCTGGAGGCTGCAGCAGCAGAATCATTTGAACCTGGGAGGTGGAGGTTGCAGTGAGCCAAGATTGCGCCACTGCACTCCAGCCTAGGTGACAGGCGAACTCTGCCTCCAAGGAAAAAAAAAAAAGGCATCTGAGAGGTGAGGATGGGAGCCTTGTGGACATCTGGAGAAATTGGGTCCTAGGCCAAAAAAGCAACAAGTGTAAAGGCCCCGAGGCAGGAGCATGCCTGTTATGTTCCTGAAACAGGTGACTTGCTGACGCCAAGAAAGGGTAAGAATAGTAAGAGAATGCATTCAGAGAACAGTGGGGTTATCCTTGGTAAGTTCAGTTTACCATACTCCTGACCCCCTAGACACATCTACCACACCTCTTGGTATGTGACTTCTAAAGAAAAAAGCTGTGTGTCCGTGCCCACCTATTCAGAGTGTAAATCAGCACAACTTTCCAGAGGGCCTTTGGCAAACTATATTAAAAGCCTTAAAATTCCGCATCCTCTTTGAGTAATTTTAATTTTCTAGGATGTTATCCTCAAGAAATATTAACCATAGCAATGCCAATTTCTGTTTTGTTTACAATTCTCAAAACCTGAAAACAACTGAATATCCAACAATAGAGATTTATTAATTATAGTGTTTCCTATGTGCAAATACAAGCAAACAATCTGTACCCTGCACCTCCTCTTCATAATCCATATGCTCTTTGAGTACTTGAGAGTTCTAAGAACAATGTATTATATCTGTGCCACATCACTTCAATTTGAGATCCAAGTTCAATTACATACCCATTAAGAATTAAGAAAGCAGCCTCTAATGTGCAGAGACTCTGTGTGAATTTTAGGTAACACAATTCTAAAGAAAGAATACACAATCTTGGGGGTTAAAACAGTAAATAATAAAAATAAAAATGCATGTTAAGTACCTTGCCCTTACCTCTACATAACATTGTCTAGAATTACAGCAAAAGAGGTCATCTAATCTTCTAGGACTCAAAGGCCAGGCTTGTTTTTCTACCCCTTTGACTGGTATTTATTTCTCAAAGACCGTTCAGGGAAAACCTGTTGAACAGGTGAGAATACAATAACGTGGTTCCAGGGGAGAGTCAGAGGGGAGCTGTACACAGAGAAACCATTGAGAAAGCAAAGATGCAAGGAGACTTCCCTTTGGGAATTCACTTAACCAATCCCAATTAGACCTCATCGGTTTCCCCCAACATTAATAAACCACAAGGGAAAGGAAGGGGGGCATAGCAAGGCTCCCCTGGGGTACAGCTAGGTGCACAATGGCAGAATGGATAATCTAGTTCACATTTTATCCTCGAAAGACCACACTTTATCCTCTTAAATTTATATTTCCACCAGGAAACAGCACCTAAGGCTTCTGTACATAATCACTGTTACTACTGATGAAATTTATGGGAGAAAGGTTCTAGCCTGGGCTTTCTCATTCCTGGCACAATTACCAGCTGGACCGTACTTTTTTGCTGTAGGAGCTGCCCTGAACATTGCAGGATAGCTGGCAGCATCCCTGGCCTCTGCCCTCTAGAGGTCTGCAGCCCTTCCCTCTCAGTCTCAACAAATAATCACGTGTTGTAGGAGGGACCTGGTGGGAGATAATCGAATCATAGGGGAGGTTTCCCCCATACTGTTCTTGTGGTAGCAAATAAGTCTCACAAGATCTGATGGTTTTATAAGGGGAAACCCCTCTCGCTTGGTTCTCATTCTCTCTTGTCTGCCACCATGTAAGACATGCCTTCGCCTTCTGCCATGATTGTGAGGCCTCCCCATCCATATGAAACTGTGAGTCCATTAAACCTCTTTTTTCTTTATAAATTACCCAGTCTCAGGTGTGTCTTTATTAGGAGCATGGAAACAGACTAATACAGGTGGCAAGCTAGCAAATCCTCTAGGCAGATTACCAATGATCAGGGCAACCCATCCCACTCTCAAAGTGAACACAAGGTACATGGTCTCATCAGGCTCTCCAGGAAAGATCAGTGCACAAGCCCAACTCTT